CTCTGAGTATACTGTAAGGGCGGCAATAGAGGTAAATACACGATAAGAAAGGCGATACAGAGGTATACATGTATGTACATGTATTTGTATACACATTTGTCCAGACATTCTCGCATTTCCCAATAGAAGCATATAAAAGTCAGTAGGGGATCGCCAGTCAAACAGATCAGACTGAAACGTAACTGCGCAATGGACTTTTATTATTTGCCAGCTTCGCCTCCCTGTCGTGCCGTTCTCATGGTGGCCAAGGCCGTGGGCGTTGAGTTGAATAAGAAGCTGCTGAATACCTTGGCAGGTGAGCAGCTGACGCCTGAATTTGTGAAGATCAATCCACAGCATACGATTCCCACTCTGGTGGACAATGGCTTCTCCATCTGGGAGTCGCGTGCCATTCTCGTCTACCTCGTGGAGCAGTACGGCAAGGATGACTCACTCTATCCCAAGGATCCACAGAAGCGAGCTTTGATCAATCAGCGGCTCTACTTTGACATGGGCACACTGATACACAGCTTCGCCGACTATTACTATCCGCAGTTCCTTAAAAATGCGCCTGCAGATCCAGCCAAGTTTGCTAAGATGGAAACAGCCTTTGAGTTTCTCAATACATTCCTAGAAGGTCAGAAGTTTGTGGCTGGCGATACTCTGACAGTGGCCGACTTTTCCATTGTGGCCACAGTTTCCACATTTGTTGTGGCAGACTTTGATATTACCAAATACCCAAATGTGACCAGATGGTATGAGGCCGTTCAGAAGGTAATACCCGGCTGGGATGAGGGCTTGGATGCAATGAAAGAATGGATTGCAGAGAAACGCAAAGAAAATGCAACTAAGTAAAATATAATGATTCTGTAAATTTTCAAACTATTTGAATAAAAAAAAAAGACAGAAAATATTCCATGAATTATATACATACATATAAATATATAACTACTAGCGCATCTTATGAAGAACAGCTTTCCCAATTTTTCCATTCGAACATTTTACTGCAAGTCACAGGCGTTCACGATTGATGAAATTATGATTGCCAGTGATAATACGCCGCGATGACATTCTGATTGCCGGTGATAATACCCCACATGGTTTTCCAGAACAATATGCCACTTACAAATAATTTTTATCAAGCATGAAAGCAAAGAGGAATTGGGTTGCGATAACAATTCACATACATATGTCATGGCTTATCTGAGCTTTTACTACTCGTATAATAGAAGCCAGCAGAAAGTGAGCGAATTCAGTAGTCGCTCGAGCATTGAAGGCGTCGGACACGAGAATTCAGATAGTGGAAATGGACTTTTATTACTCACCTGGCTCGGCACCCTGCCGCTCCGTTCTTATGACAGCTGCCGCTTTAGGCATTAAGCTGAACAAGAAGTTGCTCAACACTGGCGAAAAGGAGCAGTTGAAACCGGAATTCATCAAGCTGAATCCCCAGCATACGATCCCAACGCTCGTCGACAATGGCTTTGCCATCTGGGAGTCGCGTGCCATTCTGATTTACCTGGTGGAGAAATACGGCAAAGACGATTCGCTCTATCCCAAGGATCCACAGCAAAAGGCACTAGTGAACCAGCGCCTGTACTTTGACATGGGTGTGCTTTACCAGGCTTTCGCCGACTATTACTATCCACAGTTTCGTTTCAACAAGCCCGCTGATCCCGAGATCTTCAAGAAAGTCGAAGCTGCCTTTGCATTCCTGAACACCTTCCTGGAAGGTGAACAATATGTTGCCGGCAGTCGGCTGACCATCGCCGATATTTCCATCTTATCCAGTGTATCGACCATTGTGACAGTGGGCTTCCCACTGGCCAACTATCCGAACGTGGCTAACTGGTACGAACGTGTCCAAAAAGAGACGCCCGGCTGGGCTGAGAACGTTGAAGGCTTGGAGAAGCTCAAAGAGCGCATTGCTGGAATGCGCAAACAGTAAATTTATCGCAATCGCAATCGCAAATTCATATTGTATAACAAATATTTATAATTTCACTAAACAATAAGTTCGCAGAAAATATTGAATAAACTTTATATATATTTATGTATGTACATGTATTCCCGGCTAGTTGAACTAAGTGTATTTATTTATTTACCAAACAATCACTGAAATTAAGCATGTCAATAATTACCGGCGAAAAGCTTCGCAGTGCTTACAAATATGTACATACATATATATGTGTATATCTGTGCATATGCACATACACATATGTATATACATATGTATGTACATACAGCTGTATTTAAGCATGAACTTTGCAGCTTCAGCTTTCGTGTATTCAGCTTATTTGCATGGCATGGCTTCTACATACATATGTTTGTATGTTTGCATATATTCTTATATTTCTGTGTATGTACATATGTGTGTGTGTATGTACGTATGTCTGTGCAAATCGAGCTTATTCGTCGCGGCGCTAAAAATACCATATGTGTTGACTTTTTAAATGTTCTTTCTAACCTGTTGCGCGCCGTAAATTTAGCGAACTCAGGCAGCTTTCATGCTTCGTTTAAGCTTTTTCAAAGCTCTTCTTAGCAATTCTCACAGCTTTAATAATTATCATGAGCAAATCAATTTCATAGTTTGCTAACATTCTATGCATGTCTCTATTTATTAAATTAACACTACCATATTTTTATATTTCTGAATAAAGAAAACAATTAATAATGAAATGTTATCGCTCTATTATTAATTTCGAATGCATGAGATATATGTAGATAGCGCCGCATGAGTAATAATTGTTTGTATATTCGCTTTGAGAGCCAAATGAGTATATTGGTTCTGTTATCGCACAAAATTTATTATTTCACAAATATTTCATTTGGATAGATATTTCACACTGAAGTATGTATATTTTACTATCTTTATATATCAGGCTTAGCAAATGTTTATTTTGGATAGATTTTATATCACAATTTCACACTGATATACAATATATCTTTTCATATATATTTTTTCATATAATATCTTTTCATATCAGCATTAGCTCACGCCTTATTATTTTGTAGCCTCTTGAAGCGTGAACGAGTATGACACATTCAGTTGGAATCGCCTCGAACGTTCGTATTTATTACATATTCCCATATACATACATAATAACTCCCATATAAAACTGAAAGTAACAGTGACAAACAAAACATGATAAGCAATTGAAAAAGTACTTATGAGATAATATTCTATAAACTATTGCTATAAAAGCAGTTACTGTCCCGTGCTCAAAATCAGTTTGCGATCAGCATTCGACAGTAGAGTACAATCAGTACATAAATACAGCATGGATTTCTACTATATGCCCGGCTCAGCCCCCTGCCGTTCAGTGATCATGACGGCGAAAGCTCTGGGCGTCGAGCTGAACAAGAAAATTGTGAATACCTTGGAGAAGGAGCAACTGAAACCAGAATTTGTGAAAATCAACCCACAGCACACGATCCCAACGATCGTGGATAATGGCTTCGCACTGTGGGAGTCGCGTGCTATTCTGGTCTACCTGGTTGAGAAGTACGGCAAGGACGACTCGCTCTACCCCAAGGATCCCAAGCAACAGGCTATAGTCAATCAGCGCCTATACTTTGACATGGGTGTGCTGTTCAAATCATTCGCTGATTATTACTACCCAATATTAATTTTTAACAAGCCCGAAGATCCTGAAAACTTCAAAAAGATCGAGACTGCCGTCGGTTTCCTAAACACCTTCCTCGAGGGTCAAGAGTACGTGGCTGGCGATCATTTAACCATCGCTGATATTGCCATTCTGGCCACCGTTTCTACATTTGTGGCTGTCAATTTTGAGCTCAAGAGCTATCCAAACGTGGCCAAGTGGTACGCCAACGCCGAGAAGGTAGTGCCTGGCTGGTCAGAAAATTTGGAAGGTCTGGCCCAGATGAAACAATGGTTCGATGCTAAAATGAAAGACGTGAAAGCCTAAATTATTTTTTCCATTTAAACTAATATATAAAGTTATGTATTGTTAAGAATGATAATAATCTTTAATGTTTCGAATCAATTATATACATTTTGTCATAATATTCGCTAGATTCCGTATCCCATATTTGAATAAAAACTCATCATGATTATGACTAAATAAAAGTATATATATATTTCAGTTCTTCTTGGTTTACAATTGATAAAGTTAAGTTCTATCTCCAACTTTTAGTCTGACTCCGGCTCCACTAGCTTCTGCAGCTGGCGATATTTGTGAATGGCCTTGCGCACGAATTCCGTGGTTCGTCTGACGCGTTCCGGCGTAATTTCCTCGGCTATCATGCGACCCACATCTTGTGCCCCGCCAAAGCGTAGATAGTTAACGGCCTTGTTTGGAAACTCACAGATTTGAGTGTGTCGGCAGAGCGTGCTGGTGATGGCGGTGCCAAAGAGGATCACCCCCACGGCAGATAGCACGACGGCCACAATGCGGAAGAGTGTGGACATCAGTATGGAGGGCAACAGGCGGGACGCAAAGGCTATCAAGGGATTCATTCCAGGAGAGGGCGTGGCTGCCACAGTTGTGGTACTATCTGAAGCAACATCGGGGCTGACCTGATTGGCGGGCACCAAGAAGCCCTCGTAGCCGGTCTGCACCATAATGGGGCCCGGATACGGATAGATGCCGGCCGCTCCAGTTAGGGGCGCGGGATAGCCCGCGGCAAGCGGTTGCAAGCCAGCAGCACCGCCGAATTGACTCAGATACTGCTGAAAGGCCTCGGGCGTGATCAGGCCGCCGGCATAGATGGATACCGGCTCATTGCTGCTGGCACTGGCCACATTATCACCCGGCTGTAATGGAATTATCTGAGATCTCTTTCTACCGTCATTTGATTGTTAATTCACTTACGACTGATGGTTCCTGCGGTTCGTTGTTTCCCGCCGAAGTTTGATTCGAGGAACTGGCACTGGTCAGAGCGGCCTCGTTTGAGGCGATCGGCTCGACGTGTGTGTCCGGCAGCTTATCCGTCTCCTCTATGCTATTGACAGCTGTTGCAGGGGGAGCTGTCTCCAGTGCCGGCAGCGTGCAGGCCTCGTAGAGCATCATGAGCAGCAGCAACAGGCGCAGCGACATGTTGTATGGATTTCTGTAGCTCATCTCGATGCACTTTCGGGACGACAACTGTTTACGGCACCTGTGCAGCTCAGCGCCTTTATAGGCTCCGTCTGGCCGAGTCCATTTTGAGTGCTTGTTATCCTTGTGCGTTGCGCGCTCAATTGTCCCTTCTTGTTGCAGCTAATGACAGATTTTCTGGGAATTTGAATGGTTAATGCCTTTGAATGTCTTTTCCATAATTTTCCAAAATAGGCATTGTCCTTGGCTTACCTGCATAAATGACACCTCAGGTAACTACCCGTCGAGTGAGCTAGGTAAGTTTCGCTTTACACTGGCGGGCGAAAAAGAGTGCCTGGTTCACGCTCAGCTAATTTCCTTCACATTTCAGATTATCTAATGCCCCACGACAGCGCGTGCCTGCTTTTAAGTGGCCAAGAAAGTGCTAAAAGTTAGCCTAACATGCATTCGGGCCGGGCCCACTTTCAGTTTCGCCCCCAGTTACCGCCTGACCAAGTTTTCGAGCGCCATTCAGTTGGAAAGACTTACAGCAATCAATAACAAATAAAACACGTAGCTACAACAAATTATGTAGTGGCTTAATTTTAGAAGGGAAAAAAAGGAGCAGACAAGCGCACGATATCCTGACCGAGTTTTGGCAGCCGCACGCCCCCACAATCCGGCTACTGCCCTCACTGCGCCACTCGCCCTTTCGCTCGCGCCAAGCGCCCGTTCAGGTGAGCACACATTAGCCGAGGCGACGCGCCGCGGCTGTCGTCCAGGTAACGTTCGCTATGAAAACTAAACGAAAATAGCAAAACAAAACAGACATGAAACAAAGCGCCAAGCAGCCGCCGATGACATGAAAGTTCTGAAAATTCAAACAGGCAGACAACGACAACGACAACGACGACAGTGACAGCGACGGCGACGGATACATTGAAGGACAGACACGTCCCCAAGTTAACATAAACAGATTATATCATCAACAAAGACATCATCAACGCAACAGCAGCAACAGCACCCACCAGCCACCAGCCACCAGCCAAAGGACCAGAGCTCCGCAGCGACGACAGCAGCGCTCGACACTCGCAGCCACACTGGGGAACTGCATAGACATCGACTCCGTGGCCGTGGTGCAACACAAGCTGGTGCATAGGATTGTGTGAGTATGCAGCTAGCTGGCAGCAATTCCATTTCCCACATTCATAATTCAAAATTAATCGAGGCACAACAGCTTCAATTAATACGCCAGTAACACACTCAAGTGTGAATAAATATCCACAGCCAAGCACTTGCATACCCTAAAATATTTCTGCATCTGGTATTTTGCATTAATTAATTTCAGTTTGTCGAATTTGTAATAATACATAAATAATTCTTAATTGGTTATATATTTTTCTTTGTAATTTAATTCATTATATTTCAAAGAAGTCTTCAAAATCTTGTTTTCTTCATGATTTGATTTGTTTGGAATTTCTAGATTATTTTTGTATTTATTCATAACCTGATCTCAGCCTCAATTATCATTGATTCTCATTACTTAGCTTAGCTTGTTTACCAAAACCACGCGTGTATAAATGAAAGCAAATTAGATATTATCAAAATAACATATTGAGAAGAAATTTCGGTCGACCTTTAGCATTCACCTTGTCCAGACCTAATGTAAATCGTCAAGCAATTTACATTAATAAAATATTTGAAATCGATGAATTGATTTTCTGCTGTACGAGCGACCAACTGGTGTCCTGTCGTGTGCTTGTCCAATTTAGTAAGCCCTTTCAGTTGATACCCATGAATCGGACCGAACAAATTGTAACCGAGTTCGTCTACTTTCTCATTGTCAGAGGTGGTAAAATGTCGACGCCAGTGCTGTACTATCTGCCTCCGAGTCCGCCCTGTCGCAGTATTCTGCTGCTGGCCAAAATGCTCGATCTGAAGTTCGAGCTGAAGATCGTCAACATACTGGAGGGGGAGCAGCTGAAGCCCGAATTTGTGGCCATGAATCCACAGCACTGTGTGCCCACCATGAACGACGAGGGATTGGTGCTGTGGGAAAGGTGACAATCGCTAAATGAAAATACCTGAAGTACGGCAAATGTTTAGTATTAATTCTCAATTTTAGTCGCGCTATACTCTCATATTTGGTTGCCGCCTACGCCAAGACGGACGAGCTGTACCCCACGGATATACGAGTGCGAGCTCTCGTGGATCAGCGGCTACACTTTGACCTGGGCACCCTCTATCAGCGCCTCACCGACTTCTATGTGAGTGGCTGACAGCATAAGCAGTCGACATCTAGTAAACTAAACATACTCTCCTCGCAGTTTCCCACAATGTTCATTGGCGCCCCCCTGGACGAGGGGAAACGAGCCAAGCTGGCCGAAGCTGTAGGCTGGCTGAATTCAATCCTCGAAGGCCGCGAATACGCAGCTGCAGATCATTTCACCATTGCGGATTTGACGCTTCTTGTTACCGTCTCCCAGCTGGAGGCCTTCGACTTCGAGCTTAAGACCTACAAACATGTCAAGCAATGGCTGGAACGATGCAAGCAGCACATGGCGCCCTACGACTACGAAGAACTCAATGCCAGCAAAGCGGCTATGTTGGCCGACATGTTCAAGGCGAAGATGAATCAAACAGGTGGCACCTAATCAGCTACCGTAATATACCTATACTAAATATATAGTTAATAGTGTGTGTGTGTGTGTATGTTAAAGTTGTATTAAATAAATTTTTAGTTCTTGGCTTTCAATGAAAGAGATTTGTTTTTTAAGATAGATATAGATATAGATATAGATATAGATATAGATATAGATATAGATATAG